TCATTACTCACTCACTCATTCAGCTCATTCAGCACTCATCACTCATCACTCACTCATCACTCACTCATCACTCACTCACTCACTCATCAAATATATATACAGTCCTTGGCTAGTGTCAGTAGACATGATGCAGTCCTGAGATTTACTCAGTGTGCTTTGATAGTCATAAATCAGATAGATAACCTAGACAGATTAATGTATAGATAGAGAGATGACATTATTGTTATTATTATCCATAATTTACTCTACTTCTGATCTCAAACATATAGATAATTTGATAGGGAAGTATCTCTATTCCATTACTTATTTCTCCATTAATCCCAGCACCTCCTTCCCACAGAGGCGAGAACTGCTAGAGAAACTCATCACCTACAACGAACACATGCTTCATGAGGACAAGAATCATGACAAGAAGGAGGAGGAATCAGAAGAGGAGGAGGAGGAGAAAGTGACGACCACCTGCGGCAATGCTACCGTGGAAATCAGCTCCATGAACTTGGCCTCCGCTAACTTCTTCATGAACCCACTGGAAGTGAGTTTTGGGGTCAGGTCCTTTGGGTGAGAGGTGGTTGAAGGGTTTGCATTAGGGGATGGAGGAGGGCTGGTAGGAGGTACAAGGTTATATGAGGCTCAGGCCATGAGAACCCTAGTTCCTGTTTTTCATCCACCGCCCACAGGTCCCAACAACACCTGCCAAAAATGTTCATTATTTTCAATAAATTTCATTATTCCTGCCAAAATATGATATGATGACTTTTAAAAGCTGTTCTTTCATCATGTTTTTTAGAGAGAGTACTTTTACTAGTAAATATGAATAAAAAATGGCATGATTATCCACAAGAACTAAGATGATTTGACTTGTTGATGTTCTCTTCGTTAAATGCTTGTAGAAATAAATAAGGAATAATGAAAAATAGCCTCATCAGTTTTCATTTTTGCCTAAATGCAAAACAGAAACTTTCATTTTTGTGACCTTAGGGTCGAGTCAATTTAGGGTGTAAAGGATTGGTTTGGGCTCAAGATCATGTTTGGAAATGCAAGGGGCTTTTGAGGGTTTTAGGTTGTAGGGCTGTCCATTATTTTTTTCTTCCTCACTCTGTCTCTCTCTCTCTCTCTTATTCTTTGTTCTTTTTGGCTCAGTTTATATTCATTTTTAAGATAAATTTTTACCCTGGAATATGTCAGTCATCATCACCCATTATGGAATCACACATTTTTAAAAGATGTGTGCATAGATATTAGTACCTTTATTTCTTTTCTTCCTTCAATTTCACTCACTTTTGTGCAGGAATGTCGTTGAAAGTTGTTTCACTTTATTACCAAGTACAATCTTTTCCCCCCTTTTCCTCCTCCTTCGTTTCCTCCAAAACTATCCTCACCATCACTATCATTCCATCACCATCATTCTCGACACCATTCTCACTCCCCTCTTCTCCCTCGTCGAAACAGGCAATCAAGAAGAACCAGATAAAAAGTACAAATGGAGCCACGGAATCAGAAGACAACATCGACAGTCAACCCCCAGAGGATGAAAGCACCCCCCAGGAGAGGCTACTCGAGCTTGGGGTTTACAGCCAGAAGGACCTGAACAAGTCGATCAAACGGACGGCCTTCCGTGCCCAGCAAAAAAGCCGGCTGATGCAGCAGAAGGAGAAGACCTTAGCGCGCGAGCAGAAGAAGAAGCAGGCCAAGGTGCGGGCCAAGCTCAAGGCGAAGCTGGAACGGCCCAACAAGAACAAGGGCCGCAGACACTGTCGATAGTGAGGAAGGGCTAGGAGGGCTAGGTTAGAAATTTTCCTGGTGAAGAGGAAGGCCTTTTTTCATTATTATTTTTTGATACTATGATTTTTGTTGTTGATAATATAAATTTTTTTTTAATTAAAAGTAAAATCAGAAAATATATTAATTGACTATTATTTTTCCTTTGCAAAAAAGTAATGGGAAAAAGAGAAAAATAGAGAGATACACACACACAGAAAGAGAGAGACAGAGAACAAAAATATTATAATACTGTAAGATACTCTAAGGAAAGTATAGACTTCTTTACTATTATTTCTCATATCATTTTCAAACATCAAATGAACTTTAGGGGGAAATAAAGCTTAATCTACATATTACATATATTTTATGTGTAATAACTAATTTTATTATGGTAATGTTATATATTAAGCCAATTCAATTATATATATATATAACCCTTTGAAATAATTTGGGCAGCTTCTTTAAGTTTTGCAAATGAAGTTATTAGATATTTATTATAAGTAATTATAAAGAATGATCTTTAATTAATGTAACGAATAGTATACATTCTTACAGGTTTTCTATGTTTTCTTTGTTCTGTGCTCTTGACATATTTTTTCAGTTTTTTTCTATTTGACTAATAATGTTTCTGTGTTCTTTAATGTGTTTTTTTTTTTTTATTTAATCTCTCTCTCTCTCTCTCTCTCTCTCTCTCTCTTCTTCTCTCTCTCTCTCTTCTCTCACTCTCTCTCTCTCTCTCTCTCTCTCTCCCTCTCTCTCTCTCTCTCCCTCTCTCTCTCTCTCTCTCTCTCTCTCTCTCTCTCTCTCTCTCTCTCTCTCTCTCTCTCTCTCTCTCTCTCTCTCTCTCTCTCTCTCTCTCTCTCTCCTTTCCTCTCCCCCTCCCCTTGTGTCTGTTTTTTCTCTCTCTTTTACTACCACTTTCCTTTTATATCTGCAATTTCTAGAATTAATTTTGTTCTTTCATTTATCTCTCTTCATGATTCAATTTTGCTTTTGTTTTTTCTCTTTTGATTTCGGTCTTTACTGCCTTAATTTTTTTCCTTTTTTATTGTTTGTTTCTTCTTTTTTTCTTTATATTCTTTTCTTTAGTGTTTCCTTTCTCCTTTTTCTTTTTTATTTGTTTTCCAGTTGTTTTTCTCTCTTTATTTTTTCAATTTGTATTTATTAGTCTCTATTTAACTTTCTCTTCTCTTTTCCAGATGTTATTTCCTCTTCTGATTATTTTTTCATTCTCTCTTATGATTCTCTTTTGTAGAGTTGATATAGTACATGTGTAACAGGAGTAAATTTACGGAGACAGTACATTTTCGGTCTTTACTGCCTTAATTTTTGTCCTTTTTTATTGTTTGTTTCTTCTTTTCTTTTTTATATTCTTTTCTTTAGTGTCTTTTATTTGTTTTCCAGTTGTTTTCTTCTTATTTTTAATTTGTATTTATTAGTCTCTATTTCTTCTCTTCTCTTTTCAGATGTATTTCCTCTTCTGATTATTTTTTCATTCTCTTATGATTCTCTTTTGTAGAGTTGATATAGTACATGTGTAAAGGAGTAAATTTACGGAGACAGTACATTTTCGGTTACTGCCTTAATTTTTTCCTTTTTATTGTTTTTTCTTTTTTCTTTATATCTTTTTTTAGTGTTTCTTTCCTTTTTTTTTTATTTGTTTTCAGTTGTTTTCTCTCTTTTTTTTCAATTTGTATTTATTAGTCTCTATTTCTTTCTTTCTCTTTTCCAGATGTTATTTCTCTTCTGATTATTTTTTCATTCTCTCTTATGATTCTCTTTTGTAGAATTGATATAGTACATGTGTAACAGGAGTAAATTTACGGAGACAGTACATTTTCGGTCTTTACTGCCTTAATTTTTTTCCTTTTTTATTGTTTGTTTCTTCTTTTCTTTTTTTATATTCTTTTCTTTAGTGTTTCCTTTCTCCTTTTTCTTTTTTTATTTGTTTCCAGTTGTTTTTTCTTTATTTTTTCAATTTGTATTTATTAGTCTCTATTTAACTTTCTCTTCTCTTTTCCAGATGTTATTTCCTTGTCTGATTATTTTTTCATTCTCTCTTATGATTCTCTTTTGTAGAAATTGATATAGTACATGTGTAACAGGAGTAAATTTACGGAGACAGTACATTTTCGGTCTTTACTGCCTTAATTTTTTTCCTTTTTTATTGTTTGTTTCTTCTTTTTTCTTTCTTTTTTATATTCTTTTCTTTAGTGTTTCCTTTCTCCTTTTTCTTTTTTATTTGTTTTCCAGTTGTTTTCTCTCTTTATTTTTTCAATTTGTATTTATTAGTCTCTATTTTTTCTCTTCTCTTTTCCAGATGTTATTTCCTCTTCTGATTATTTTTTCATTCTCTCTTATGATTCTCTTTTGTAGAGTTGATATAGTACATGTGTAACAGGAGTAAATTTACGGAGACAGTACATCTAAAGAGAGTACGGTGAAGAAATCAAACCCGTAGAGAAATTGTTTTGAGGGAATGCATGTATAAAAGATGATACATGTAGAAGAAACAGCCTTCTTTATTTTTTCTTCCTTTCCAGTTGTTTCTCTCTCTTCTCTCTCTTCTTTTTATTCTCTCTCTTCTCTTCTCTCTTTCTCTCTCTCTCTCTCTCTCTCTCTCTCTCCTCTCTCTCTCTCTCTCTCTCTCTCTCTCTCTCTCTCTCTCTCTCTCTCTCTCTCTCTCTCTCTCTCTCTCTCTCTCTCTCTCTCTCTCTCTTCTAAGTTTTAGACTTTTCTTTATATACTCTTAAAATTGAAGTGTGTGTGTAATCAAAGCCAGCAGATAATTGTGTAAAAATGAAAATAAAAAGTTGGGAAAATAGTGTAGCTTTGTGCAGTAGCGGTTGTGCCATATATATTTTCATTTACCTTATTACATTCTTTATTTTTTTCTCTTTCTCTTTTCTACATTTTTTTTGTTTCCTTTACTATCCATCCTTTCCGGCATGTCATCTCTTTCAGACTTTCTTAGTTTTTTCTTTCTTCTCTTATTTCTCTGTGTTCCTTAAATGTATTATATGCTTTTTCATAACTGATTATCTAATTCTTCAATGTTTTAGTTACAGCCATTTATAATATATAATTTTCTTAATAATATTCCAATCTTTACTGCATTACTACTACTACTACTACTACTGCTACTACTACTACTACTACTACTACTACTACTACTACTACTACTACTTCTATTACTACCACTACTACTTCTACTTCTACTACTACTGCTACTACTACTTCTACTTCTACTACTTCTACTATTACTACTACTACTACTACTACTATTATCATTACTACTACTACTACTGTGACTACTATAATTACTAGTTCTGTTGCTACTATTGCTACTACTATTGATGTTGCTGCTGCTACTTCACCTACTTTCACCAACACTACAAGAACTACTTCTATGACTACCTTAACTACTACAACTATTACTGCTGCAACTACTAATATTATTACTACTACTAATTCTACAACAACAACTACCACCACCACTATTACTACTACTACTACTTCTATGACTACTACTGTTCCTACTATCACTACAGCAGACTCAGTAATGTCTGTGAATAAATGAACAGCCTCTTGAAAACATAAAGGTAGAAAAACTGGAAGACAAATTTGCACATATACATGCTCATACCCACGCACACATATATACAGATATGTATACACACGAGACACGAACACACACACACACACACACACACACACACACACACACACACACACACACACACACACACACACACACACACACACAACACACACACATGTACATACACACACATATGTATATACACACACACACACATGCACACACACACACAAATTTAGATGGATAGTCAAAGAGAGGAAGAGGCAATCCCATGTATTCAAAATATTTCTACAAGTGAGTCAGTTCATTTTGTGACAGAAATAATATATTTCAAAGCGGATTCAACGTGCCCTATGAGCACAATGGAAGAGTAAAAATTCCCTATGTTCAGTTCACACGTGTTTCCATGTTGAGAACCGATGTTTTTTTAATCGGTTCAGCCAACACGTTCTTATAATTACATTGCCATGCTGGATAAAAAATTATAATAACCAAATCAGGAAACTTCCGCAGTTGCAAAATAAATCAATAATGATAATAAAAAATAACAAATAAAGAGGGGAACATAAGCATACCATATAGGAAATAAGCAAGCACTTTATTTGTCGAGCTAAATGTAGTATCACATTTTTGAAAAAAAAAAGTTTATATATATACTTTTTGTAAATTTTCTTTCTAAAACACCTTGATAACAATAAAGCACATACGAAGAAGCAACTCCAGTGCAAACGCAGCGAGAAGCAACACTCAATTAAATAAAATAAAAAAACAAACAAATGTATATATAAAGATCGTTAAAAACCCAAGACTTGAAGAGGCGGGAAGGTAACCGAAAAAGTAGACAATTGGGTTAGGAACAAGTTACAAAACTCACATTGATGTAGCAAAAAAAGAACAAAAAAGGCTGCAACACCGATGCTTTGCTTGATATCCTTTTTATATTAATAAATATATTATAATGCTATAATAATATGGTCATTCTGTGAGTTTTGGAAAACACGAAAGTTCTGTGTACAAAATAGTACGAATATTCGATAAATGAGATTTTGTGAGTGAAGCTTATTATGCCAACACCAATAATGATGAAAATAGTGATAATAATAATTTAAAAAACAAGAAAAACGGAGTGTGTGTGTGCAAATAATAACACACACGCAAAGTGATAGCGTGACCGTGCAGCAAGACATACAAAGACGGTGTATGCTACATATAATGTGGTTTGCAAGATGGAAGATATTAATGTAGGCGGGATTGTGGTTGGGGGTGTTGTGGGTGGGGGGTGGGTAGGGGTGTTGCAAGGACGGATTTTATCCCAGTCTTTCTGAAGACACAGGATCAATAAATTTGAATTTATTGCCTTGTCTCAAGCTTGGGTCAGTTTTATTCTTTCGCTTTTTTTTTCTTCTTTTAGCGATATTCATCTTTTCTTTTCCTTTCTTTGTTCTGCCCGTTGCTGTTGTGAACAATCGATATACTTGTTTGAAAACGAGGTTAGAGCTTCCCCGTTTTCTTTTGTCTTATGGCACCAACAAACATATATAATTCGGTTTTCCGACTATCACTACAGTGGAAACCTCGAACTCATTCAGTAAAATGCATATATATATACTATTAACAAAAACAGTAAAATAGAAAATAAATAATTCAAATTAATTCATATAAATCATATTCATATCAGTATACCAAACACTGTAAATTCACACATTGTCTTTAATGGGTAAATTCATTTTAAAAATGCATCGTTACATTTCTGTTATATTCGTTAAAAACAGTACTAAAAACAAAACAAAAATACACAACCAAGCACCAAATTTCTTTCTTTTAAATATATAGAAACTACAGCTAACTCCTCCCGTCACTGGAGACGAGGAAACAGACAATGGGAAAAGGAGATAAGTGACAATTAAAAAAATATCTTTCGGTTCTGAACTAAAGACACATTTTCGCAAACTTCATATACACTTCAATATCTAAATATACACCTAGATATCCATCCTCCTTTTCCCACTTCCTATATCCCATATCCATTCTTTTGGCAACAGGAGGGGATGTAAAAAAAAAAAAAAAAAAAAAAAAAAAAAATAACACGGGTTGGTTAGACCAAAGGCATGAATCGTAAGGTCACAACATGCCTGGGCCGAGCCGTCTGCCCTGGGCTTGGCGAGGGGCCAGGCCGGAGACAGAGGCCCGAAGACACAGTCGTCGTTTAGCTTCACGTCCCAGGAGATGTCCCCTAAATCCTGAGACGCAAGGGTAAACAGAACGCCTGCTGAGAACTACTCTTTGTTTCTGTTTTTCTCTTTTGCGTTAAATGTTGAACACTGTGATAAAAAATATATATTTATAAATATGTTTGTATATAATATGTGTGTGTATATTATCCCTTTCGAGTTATAAAGTTTCCCACTAACAGTACAGAAAGCAGACTATTGTCTTCGTTCGTTTTGATTGAGAAAAATGCTACAGTCTTATTCTAGATTATAAAAATAAGTAAAAATGGCATGGGATGTAACAACTTCAAAAGCACTTCGTCGAAATGTCACATACAAGAATATTACAGCTGCTCTGCTTATAATCTTCAAGTGTATACTTTTTTCCTTACTTATTGAAGTAATCACAGCTTAAGCATTTCCTACTGTAGAAACACTGGAGAATCAGTCTTAAGGCAGTCAACATCACAGGTTAAATGAGCATTACTGTGCAAAAATAAAAGGAATCATTAATATCTAACATGACCTTTTACTTGGACCATGTAAGGCGGTTTGTCTTCATAGATTAAACGTTTTTTTTCTCATTAAGTCCATTTGTTTACGGAAGTCTCACACTCACTCAACTATGGGGAGGTAAAACTTGTGCTCCTTGGGTTTGGGTGCGTTTTCCTTTGCTCTGTAGTTCGAGGCGCGGGTGTCGAGCAGGGAGGCGGGGCACGGGGTCACGATCTGCCACTCTCCCCGCCGAGTGATGGTGGCGTCCCTCCAGGGGTCGTACTCGGAGTGGAAGGTGATGGAAGATGCGTTGCCACGCCCTCTCGTCACTCGCTGCTCCACGCGGTTGGTGGCCGAGCTGCTCGAGGACACTCGCCTCTGCTCGCTCTGTTGCTGATGGTTGGCGGACCACTTGCGGTACTCCTCTTGGCTGCTGCCGGCGATGTGTGAGGAATGAGTGGCGCCGTGAGACGTGGAGGAGGAGGAAGAGCCATCGACCTTGGTGCTGCCTCGGAGGTCTAGAGCTTCTGCTTGTCGGAGGGAAGAAGCCATCTCTCGTGTTGTAGCTGTGGATTCTCCTTTGCCGACTTCGAGACCTAAGTTGATGTTGCTCTTTGATGTGGCCTTCTTGATACCTGAAGAACGTGTGGTTGTTTCCATCTTACTGGAATCCTCAGCCAAGGAGAAAGAGGACTGGTTATGGCGACCACGACCAGTAGGGGTTGTTGCAGGAGTGGGAGATTTTTCTTTTGTCCCTCTGGCATGGGACGTACTCAGCGAAGAAGCTTCAAGCTTGGCCTCAGCAGATGAAATTTTACGTTCTTCAGTAGTGGACTTGACACTGGTAGCCCTGGACTCGGCACGTGTGGCTGACTTTGTTTCTCGGCTTTCTTTGGTTATGACTCGGGTGACTTTACGCCCATCAGCTGTGTACGACTCGACTGTCCTCACATCTCTGTTAGTACTGGTGTCACTCTTTGCAGAGCTGGACTTCTGAATGGAGGAGGATTCTTCTGTCTTGGAGGTTACAGATTCCGATGCTAACTTAGTTGCCATGGATTCTCCAGACTTCAGCACTACAGTGTCACGTCGGATCTTTCCACTACTTCCAGCTACACTAACTTGTGATTGCTGAACCTCTGCTTTTCCATTAACAACAGCGCTTTCTCTCCTGGATCCTGTAAACTCTCCCTCGAGCTTCAGACTGTCTTCGTATTTCGTGGGTGAGACTCTGTCTCCCACGCCTGGAGATGATCGTCGCCGACCTTCAAAGTCTCCCTCTATCTTCAGGTTGTCGGGATAACGCTTCTGAGGTAGTCGTTCACCTGCTCCTGGACTACCTTTGGGACGACCTGCAAAGTCACCTTCGACCTTGAGGTTATCAGGGTATCTTTTCTGTGGCAGTCTTTCACCAGCACCTGGGCTCTCTTTGGTCTTACCCTCAAAGCTTCCATCTAACTTAAGGTTATCTGGGTACCGTTTCTGAGGAAGTCTTTCACCTGTTCCAGGACTTTCTTTTGCACGTCCATCCATACTCCCTTCCATCTTGAGATTGTCAGGATGCCTCTTCTGAGGAAGACGTTCACCCTTTCCAGGTGATCCTCTTCTCCTGCCTTCGAAGTCGCCCTCCATTTTGAGATTATCATCATATTTGTAAGGCGGTGGTCGCTCTCCAACTCCAGGTCCTTCTTTAGGTCTACCTTCGAAGGGCCCAGTCACACTCAAGTTATCTTTTGGCTTCTTAACATCCGCTCGGTCTCCTTTAATAGGGCTAATGTTCGGAGATTGTGCATAGAACTCTCCTTCCATCTTCAGGTTGTCTTCATGTTTCTTGACTTGTGCTCTTTCGCCCTTTACTTTGAAAGTTTCGTTTCTTTTCACGCCATCTTTAGCAGGTGTACTTGTCCTCTGGAATCCCTCGAAAGTCCCTTCCATTTTCAGATGATCTTCGTGTTTCCGGATTTCAACTCGTTCTCCTTTGAAGGTTGCAGCACTCTTCCTCCTTCCTTCGAAAGAGCCTTCCATTCTCAGAGAGTCTTCATGCTTCTTAATCTCAGCTCTTTCACCTCTCACAACCGAAGAGGTTTCCTTTGTTATTTCAAGCTTTCCTTCCATCTTCAAGTTGTCTTCATGTTTCTTTATCTCAGCACGCTCACCCTTTGTCACCGCAGACTTCCGAGTGGTTCTAAACTCACCTTCTGTCTTCAGGTTATCCTTAGGCTTCTTCACATCTGCTCTTTCACCCTTGGCAGCTGCAGCAGATTTCCTTCGTCCTTCAAATGATCCTTCCATTTTCAATGTATCTTCATGCTTCTTGATATGTGCTCTTTCCCCCCTTCCGATGCTTTCCTCTTTTGTGAAGGTCATGTCACCCTCAAGTTTTAATGAATCCTCATGCTTTTTGATAGTTGCTCGTTCACCCTTGATTACAGAAGTTTTCTTTTCAATATTCATATCACCCTCCATCTTTAGATTGTCCTTGTGTTTCTTTACTTCTGCCCGTTCTCCGCGCAACACTGCAGACTTTTTCTTTCCTTCGAATTCTCCGTCGATTTTAAGGGTGTCCTTGTGTTTCTTTATCTCTGCTCTCTCTCCCTTAGTCACCATTTCCTTCTTAGTGATCAGCATGTCTCCCTCCATTTTCAAAGTATCCTCATACTTTTGAGTTGTGGCTCTTTCTCCTTTAGTAGCAAATGTCTTCTTTGTTATTTCTAAATCTCCTTCCATCTTCAAATTGTCTGCATGTCTGCTGATCTCTGCCCTCTCTCCTCTTGTAGCAGCTTCTTCACGAATGAATGTCATATCACCTTCCATTTTCAAGTTATCAGTGTGTTTATGAACTTCTGCACGCTCGCCTCGTTTAACTGCGGATACATGTCGACCCTCAAAGCTGCCTTCCATCTTCAGAGAATCTTCATGTTTCTTGATTGTTGCTCGTTCTCCCCTCAGTGGACTATCTTCGAGTGGTTTCCCTTCAAAGGTACCTTCCATCTTCAGATTATCTGGATGTTTCTTGACAGGTGCACGCTCTCCTCGTGGTGCTTCTTCTGTGGGCTTTCCCTCAAATTCTCCATCAGGTTTAAGATGATCAGGATGACGTACAATGGATGCTCGATCTCCCTTAAGAGGTGCCAACTCATGTGGACGTCCAGCAAAATCTCCTTCTAGATGGAGGTTATCACTGTGTTTCTTAATTTCAGCTCGAACACCTTTGTGGATCTTGTATGCATCCTTTTGCAATGTCTCAAGGTGGTATTTTCCTTCAATAGTCAGATTGTCCTTGTGCTTAACTGCTTGAGAGCGCTGTACCTGATGAAGCTGGTAGTCATCAGTGAAATGCGTTTTACCAATGAACTCTCCTTCTTGTTTTAAGTTGTCTGAGTGTCTGTACACCTCCTGCCGCACTCCACTTACAACTGGATAATCATAGTGTGTACTTGATTGGCCAATCCATTCACCTTCCATGTGCAGATTATCTTCTAGCTTCCTAATATGGGCTCTGTCACCAACAAGAGGCTGTTGATCCCTTGGCCGTCCCATGAAATCTCCTTCTGGCCTGAGATTGTCGGGATGTTTCTTGACTGGAGCTCTTTCTCCACGAGGAATATCTTCAGGTGATGGAGCATAGAAGTCTCCATCCATTCGAAGATTGTCTGGGTGTTTCTTGACTGGGGCTCTTTCTGCGTATGGAGCATCTTCACGAGGCTTTCCTTCAAAGTCTCCAACCATTCTGAGATTGTCAGGATGTTTCTTGACTGGAGCCCTCTCACCACGAGGAGCATCTCCAGGAGTTGGAGCATAGAAGTCTCCATCCATTCGAAGGTTGTCGGGATGTTTCTTGACTGGAGCCCTCTCTGCATATGGAGCATCTTCACGAGGCTTTCCTTCAAAGTCTCCAACCATCCTAAGATTGTCAGGATGTTTCTTGACTGGAGCCCGTTCACCTCGAGGAGCATCTCCAGGAGTTGGAGCATAGAAGTCTCCATCCATTCGGAGGTTGTCAGGATGTTTCTTGACTGGAGCCCTCTCTGCATAAGGAGCATCTTCACGAGGCTTTCCTTCAAAGTCTCCAACCATTCTGAGATTGTCAGGGTGCTTCTTGATTGGAGCCCGTTCACCACGAGGAGCATCTCCAGGAGTTGGAGCGTAGAAGTCTCCATCCATTCGGAGGTTGTCAGGATGTTTCTTGACTGGAGCCCTCTCTGCATATGGAGCATCTTCACGAGGCTTTCCTTCAAAGTCTCCAACCATTCTGAGGTTATCAGGGTGCTTCTTGATTGGAGCCCGTTCACCACGAGGAGCATCTTCTGGGGTAGGAGCATAGAACTGTCCATCCATTCTAAGATTATCTTCATGTTTCTTCACAGTTACTCTTTCACCGATCTTAACTTCTTCATGTTCTTTGCCAATGAATTCTCCTACCATATGAAGATTGTCTTCTCTACGTACAATTTCTGCTCTTTCACCCCGAGTAAAAACATGTTCCTCTTCCTTTCCTTCGAACTTCCCAGTCATGCGAAGGTTGTCTGGATGACGTTTTACAGGGGCTCTTTCACCCTTAGGAGCATCTTCTGGAACTGGAGCGTAGAAATCACCATCCATTCGAAGGTTGTCAGGATGTCTCCTCACTGGAGCTCTCTCTCCCACTGTGACTTGTTCGTATTCTTTACCAATAAATTCTCCCTCCATTCGCAGATTGTCTTCTCGGCGAACAACATCAACCCTCTCTCCGCGCTTGAAGATGAATTCCTCTTCTTTACCAATGAACTCACCAGACATTTGCAAGTTATCAGGATGACGTTTCACTGGTGCTCTCTCACCACGAGGTGCATCTTCAGGTGTTGGAGCATAGAAGTCTCCATCCATTCGGAGGTTGTCAGGATGTTTCTTGACTGGAGCTCTTTCTGCATATGGAGCATCTTCACGAGGCTTTCCTTCAAAGTCTCCAGCCATCCTAAGATTGTCAGGATGTTTCTTGATTGGAGCCCTTTCGCCACGAGGAGCATCTCCAGGAGTTGGAGCGTAGAAGTCTCCATCCATTCGGAGGTTGTCAGGATGTTTCTTGACTGGAGCCCTCTCTGCAAATGGAGCATCTTCACGAGGCTTTCCTTCAAAGTCTCCAACCATTCTGAGATTGTCAGGGTGCTTCTTGATTGGAGCCCGTTCACCACGAGGAGCATCTCCAGGAGTTGGAGCGTAGAAGTCTCCATCCATTCGGAGGTTGTCAGGATGTTTCTTGACTGGAGCCCTCTCTGCAAATGGAGCATCTTCACGAGGCTTTCCTTCAAAGTCTCCAACCATTCTGAGGTTATCAGGGTGCTTCTTGATTGGAGCCCGTTCACCACGAGGAGCATCTCCAGGAGTTGGAGCGTAGAAGTCTCCATCCATTCGGAGGTTGTCAGGATGTTTCTTGACTGGAGCCCTCTCTGCATATGGAGCATCTTCACGAGGCTTTCCTTCAAAGTCTCCAACCATTCTGAGGTTATCAGGGTGCTTCTTGATTGGAGCCCGTTCGCCTCGAGGAGCATCTCCAGGAGTTGGAGCGTAGAAGTCTCCATCCATTCGGAGGTTGTCAGGATTTCTTGACTGGAGCCCTCTCTGCATATGGAGCATCTTCACGAGGCTTTCCTTCAAAGTCTCCAACCATTCTGAGGTTATCAGGGTGCTTCTTGATTGGAGCCCGTTCGCCTCGAGGAGCATCTCCAGGAGTTGGAGCGTAGAAGTCTCCATCCATTCGGAGGTTGTCAGGATGTTTCTTGACTGGAGCCCTCTCTGCATATGGAGCATCTTCACGAGGCTTTCCTTCAAAGTCTCCAACCATTCTGAGGTTATCAGGGTGCTTCTTGATTGGAGCCCGTTCGCCTCGAGGAGCATCTCCAGGAGTTGGAGCGTAGAAGTCTCCATCCATTCGCAGGTTGTCAGGATGTTTCTTGACTGGAGCTCTCTCTGCATATGGAGCATCTTCACGAGGCTTTCCTTCAAAGTCTCCAACCATTCTGAGGTTGTCAGGATGTTTCTTGACTGGAGCCCGTTCACCTCGAGGAGCATCTTCTGGAGTAGGAGCATAGAAGTCTCCATCCATTCGGAGGTTATCTGGGTGTTTCTTGACTGGAGCCCTCTCTGCATATGGAGCTTCTTCACGAGGCTTTCCTTCAAAGTCCCCGACCATCTTAAGATTGTCAGGATGTTTCTTGATGGGAGCCCTTTCTCCTCTCGTGACTTGCTCGTATTCCTTTCCAATGAATTCTCCCTCCATACGAAGATTATCTTCTCGGCGAACAACTTCCACTCTCTCTCCTCGCTTGATAGTGTATTCTTCTTCCTTGCCAATGAAGTCTCCAGTCATGCGTAAGTTATCTGGATGACGTTTTACAGGTGCTCTTTCACCACGAGGGGCATCTTCTGGGGTAGGGGCATAGAAGTCTCCATCCATTCGGAGGTTGTCAGGATGTTTCTTGACTGGAGCCCTCTCTGCATATGGAGCATCTTCACGAGGCTTCCCTTCAAAGTCTCCAACCATCTTGAGATTGTCAGGATGTTTCTTGATTGGGGCCCTCTCTCCTACTGTCACTTGCTCATACTCCTTACCAATGAATTCTCCCTCCATGCGAAGGTTGTCCTCACGCCGAACAACTTCCACTCTCTCTCCTCGCTTGATAGTATATTCTTCTTCCTTGCCAATGAAGTCTCCAGTCATGCGTAAGTTATCCGGATGACGTTTTACAGGGGCTCTCTCACCACGAGGTGCATCCTCAGGCGATGGTGCATAGAAGTCTCCATCCATACGGAGATTGTCAGGATGTTTCTTGACTGGAGCCCTCTCTGCATATGGAGCATCTTCACGAGGCTTTCCTTCAAAGTCTCCAACCATTCTGAGGTTGTCAGGATGTTTCTTGACTGGAGCCCGTTCACCTCGAGGAGCATCTTCTGGGGTAGGAGCATAGAAGTCTCCATCCATTCGGAGGTTGTCTGGGTGTTTCTTAGCTGGTTCTCTTTGAGCATATGGAGCATCTTCACGAGGCTTTCCTTCAAAGTCTCCAACCATCCTAAGATTGTCAGGATGTTTCTTGATTGGAGCCCTTTCGCCACGAGGAGCATCTCCAGGAGTTGGAGCATAGAAGTCTCCATCCATTCGGAGGTTGTCGGGATGTTTCTTGACTGGAGCTCTTTCTGCATATGGAGCATCTTCACGAGGCTTTCCTTCAAAGTCTCCAACCATCTTAAGATTGTCAGGATGTTTCTTGATTGGAGCCCGTTCACCTCGAGGAGCATCTCCAGGAGTTGGAGCATAGAAGTCTCCATCCAGAGACTGGATCAGCATCTTCACGAGGCTTTCCTTCAAAGAGATTGTCAGGATGTTTCTTGATTGGAGCCCGTTCACCTCGAGGAGCATCTTCTGGAGTAGGAGCATAGAAGTCTCCATCCATTCGGAGGTTGTCGGATGTTTCTTGACTGGAGCTCTTCTGCATATGGAGCATCTTCACGAGGCTTTCCTTCAAAGTCTCCAACCATCTAAGATTGTCAGGATGTTTCTTGATTGGAGCCCGTTCACCTCGAGGAGCATCTTCCAGGTAGGAGCATAGAAGTCTCCATCCATTCGGAGGTTGTCTGGGTGTTCTTACTGGAGGCATATGGAGCATCTTCACGAGGCTTTCCTTCAAAGTCTCCAACCATCCTAAGATTGTCAGGATGTTTCTTGACTGGAGCCCGTTCACCTCGAGGAGCATCTTCTGGAGTAGGAGCATAGAAGTCTCCATCCATTCGGAGGTTGTCGGGATGTTTCTTGACTGGAGCTCTTTCTGCATATGGAGCATCTTCACGAGGCTTTCCTTCAAAGTCTCCAACCATCTTAAGATTGTCAGGATGTTTCTTGATTGGAGCCCGTTCACCTCGAGGAGCATCTCCAGGAGTTGGAGCGTAGAAGTCTCCATCCATTCGAAGATTGTCTGGGTGTTTCTTGACTGGAGCCCTCTCTGCATATGGAGCATCTTCACGAGGCTTTCCTTCAAAGTCTCCAACCATCTTAAGATTGTCAGGATGTTTCTTGACTGGAGCCCGTTCACCTCGAGGAGCATCTTCTGGAGTAGGAGCATAGAAGTCTCCATCCATTCGGAGGTTGTCAGGATGTTTCTTAGCTGGTTCTCTTTGAGCATATGGAGCATCTTCACGAGGCTTTCCTTCAAAGTCTCCAACCATCCTAAGATTGTCAGGATGTTTCTTGACTGGAGCCCGTTCACCTCGAGGAGCATCTTCTGGAGTAGGAGCATAAAAGTCTCCATCCATTCGGAGGTTGTCGGGATGTTTCTTGACTGGAGCTCTTTCTGCATATGGAGCATCTTCACGAGGCTTTCCTTCAAAGTCTCCAACCATCTTAAGATTGTCAGGATGTTTCTTGATTGGAGCCCGTTCACCTCGAGGAGCATCTCCAGGAGTTGGAGCGTAGAAGTCTCCATCCATTCGAAGATTGTCTGGGTGTTTCTTGACTGGAGCCCTCTCTGCATATGGAGCATCTTCACGAGGCTTTCCTTCAAAGTCTCCAACCATCTTAAGATTGTCAGGATGTTTCTTGACTGGAGCCCGTTCACCTCGAGGAGCATCTTCTGGAGTAGGAGCATAGAAGTCTCCATCCATTCGGAGGTTGTCAGGATGTTTCTTAGCTGGTTCTCTTTGAGCATATGGAGCATCTTCACGAGGCTTTCCTTCAAAGTCTCCAACCATCCTAAGATTGTCAGGATGTTTCTTGATTGGAGCCCGTTCACCTCGAGGAGCATCTCCAGGAGTTGGAGCATAGAAGTCTCCATCCATTCGGAGATTGTCAGGGTGTTTCTTGACTGGAGCTCTCTCTGCATAAGGAGCATCTTCACGAGGCTTTCCTTCAAAGTCTCCAACCATCTTAAGATTGTCAGGATGTTTCTTGACTGGAGCCCGTTCACCTCGAGGAGCATCTTCTGGGGTAGGAGCATAGAAGTCTCCATCCATTCGGAGGTTGTCAGGATGTTTCTTGACTGGAGCCCTCTCTGCATATGGAGCATCTTCACGAGGCTTTCCTTCAAAGTCTCCAACCATCTTAAGATTGTCAGGATGTTTCTTGACTGGAGCCCGTTCACCTCGAGGAGCATCTTCAGGGGTAGGAGCATAGAAGTCTCCATCCATTCGGAGGTTATCGGGATGTTTCTTGACTGGCTCTCTCTGCATAAGGAGCATCTTCACGAGGCTTTCCTTCAAAGTCTCCAACCATCTTAAGATTGTCAGGATGTTTCTTGACTGGAGCCGTTCACCTCGAGGGGCATCTCCAGGGTAGGAGCATAGAAGTCTCCATCCATTCGGAGGTTGTCAGGATGTTTCTTGACTGGAGCCCTCTCTGCATATGGAGCATCTTCACGAGGCTTTCCTTCAAAGTCTCCAACCATCTTAAGATTGTCAGGATGTTTCTTGACTGGAGCCCGTTCACCTCGAGGAGCACCTTCTGGGGTAGGAGCATAGAAGTCTCCATCCATTCGGAGGTTATCGGGATGTTTCTTAACTGGTTCTCTCTGAGCATATGGAGCATCTTCACGAGGCTTTCCTTCAAAGTCTCCAACCATCTTAAGATTGTCAGGATGTTTCTTGATTGGAGCTCTTTCGCCACGAGGGGCATCTCCAGGAGTTGGAGCATAGAAGTCTCCATCCATTCGGAGGTTGTCAGGATGTTTCTTGACTGGAGCCCTCTCTGCATATGGAGCATCTTCACGAGGCTTTCCTTCAAAGTCTCCAACCATCTTAAGATTGTCAGGATGTTTCTTGACTGGAGCCCGTTCACCTCGAGGAGCACCTTCTGGGGTAGGAGCATAGAAGTCTCCATCCATTCGGAGGTTATCGGGATGTTTCTTAACTGGTTCTCTCTGAGCATATGGAGCATCTTCACGAGGCTTTCCTTCAAAGTCTCCAACCATCTTAAGATTGTCAGGATGTTTCTTGATTGGAGCTCTTTCGCCACGAGGGGCATCTCCAGGAGTTGGAGCATAGAAGTCTCCATCCATTCGGAGGTTGTCAGGATGTTTCTTGACTGGAGCCCTCTCTGCATATGGAGCATCTTCACGAGGCTTTCCTTCAAAGTCTCCAACCATCTTGAGATTGTCAGGATGTTTCTTGATTGGGGCCCTCTCTCCTACTGTCACTTGCTCATACTCCTTACCAATGAATTCTCCCTCCATGCGAAGGTTGTCCTCACGCCGAACAACTTCCACTCTCTCTCCTCGCTTGACAGTGTACTCTTCTTCCTTGCCAATGAAGTCTCCTGTCATGCGTAAGTTATCTGGATGACGTTTTACAGGGGCTCTCTCACCACGAGGTGCATCCTCAGGCGATGGTGCATAGAAGTCTCCATCCATACGGAGATTGTCAGGGTGTTTCTTGACGGGAGCTCTCTGAGCATAAGGGGCTTCTTCACGTGGTTTCCCTTCAAAATCTCCGACCATCTTAAGATTATCAGGATGTTTCTTGACTGGAGCTCTTTCTCCTATGGTGACCTGCTCATACTCTTTCCCAATAAACTCTCCTTCCATTCGAAGATTGTCCTCACGCCTAACAACTTCTACTCTCTCTCCTCGCTTAATAGTATACTCTTCTTCTTTACCAGTGAAGTCTCCTGTCATACGAAGATTATCTGGGTGGCGTTTTACTGGTGCTCTTTCTCCTCTGGGAGCATCTTCTGGGGTAGGGGCATAAAAGTCTCCATCCATTCGAAGGTTGTCTGGGTGTTTCTTGACTGGAGCCCTCTCTGCATATGGAGCATCTTCACGTGGCTTTCCTTCAAAGTCTCCAACCATTCTGAGGTTGTCAGGATGTTTCTTGATTGGAGCTCTTTCACCTCGAGGAGCATCTCCAGGAGTTGGAGCATAGAAATCTCCATCCATTCGGAGGTTGTCGGGATGTTTCTTCACAGGAGCTCTCTCTGCATATGGAGCATCTTCACGAGGCTTTCCTTCGAAATCTCCAACCATTTTCAGATTGTCAGGATGTTTCTTGACTGGAGCCCTTTCGCCACGAGGAGCATCTTCCGGAGAAGGAGCATAAAAGTCTCCATCCATTCGAAGGTTGTCTGGATGTTTCTTCACAGGAGCTCTCTGAGCATAAGGAGCATCTTCACGAGGCTTTCCTTCAAAGTCTCCAACCATTTTAAGGTTGTCAGGATGTTTCTTGATTGGAGCTCTTTCACCTCGAGGAGCATCTCCGGGAGTTGGAGCATAGAAATCTCCATCCATTCGGAGGTTGTCAGGATGTTTCTTGACTGGAGCCCTCTCTGCATATGGAGCATCTTCACGAGGCTTTCCTTCAAAGTCTCCAACCATCTTAAGATTGTCAGGATGTTTCTTGACTGGAGCCCGTTCACCTCGAGGAGCATCTTCTGGGGTAGGAGCATAAAAGTCTCCATCCATTCGAAGGTTGTCTGGGTGCCTCTTGACTGGAGCTCTCTCAGCATAAGGAGCATCTTCACGAGGTTTTCCCTGGAAGTCTCCTCCTAGCTTAAGGTTATCAGGATGTTTCTTCACAGGAGCTCTTTCACCACGAGGAGCATCTCCAGGAGTTGGAGCGTAGAAGTCTCCATCCATTCGGAGGTTGTCAGGATGTTTCTTGACTGGAGCCCTCTCTGCATATGGAGCATCTTCACGAGGCTTCCCTTCAAAGTCTCCAACCATCTTGAGATTGTCAGGATGTTTCTTGATTGGGGCCCTCTCTCCTACTGTCACTTGCTCATACTCCTTACCAATGAATTCTCCCTCCATGCGAAGGTTGTCCTCACGCCGAACAACTTCCACTCTCTCTCCTCGCTTGATAGTGTACTCTTCTTCTTTGCCAATGAAGTCTCCAGTCATGCGTAAGTTATCCGGATGACGTTTTACAGGGGCTCTCTCACCACGAGGTGCATCCTCAGGCGATGGTGCATAGAAGTCTCCATCCATACGGAGATTGTCAGGGTGTTTCTTGACTGGAGCTCTTTCTGCATATGGAGCATCTTCACGAGGCTTTCCTTCAAAGTCTCCAACCATTTTGAGGTTGTCAGGATGTTTCTTGACTTGAGCCCTCTCTCCAATTGTTACCTGTTCATACTCTTTCCCAATAAACTCTCCCTCCATGCGAAGGTTGTCCTCACGTCGAACAACTTCAACTCTCTCACCTCGCTTGATAGTGTATTCTTCTTCCTTGCCAATAAAGTCTCCAGTCATGCGTAAGTTATCCGGATGACGTTTTACAGGTGCTCTTTCACCACGAGGAGCATCTTCTGGGGTAGGGGCATAGAAGTCTCCATCCATTCGAAGGTTATCTGGGTGCTTCTTAACTGGAGCTCTTTCTGCATATGGAGCATCTTCACGAGGCTTTCCTTCAAAGTCTCCAACCATCTTTAAGTTGTCAGGATGTTTCTTGACTGGAGCCCTCTCTCCAATTGTTACCTGTTCATATTCTTTGCCAATAAATTCTCCTTCCATTCGGAGATTGTCTTCACGACGCACAATTTCAACTCTCTCTCCTCGCCTAGTAACATACTCTTCTTCCTTGCCAATAAAATCTCCGGTCATGCGTAGGTTATCTGGATGACGTTTTACAGGTGCTCTCTCACCACGAGGTGCATTTTCAGGGGTTGGGGCATAGAAGTCTCCATCCATTCGAAGATTGTCTGGGTGTTTCTTCACAGGAGCTCTCTCAGCATAAGGAGCATCTTCACGAGGTTTTCCTTGGAAGTCTCCTCCTAGCTTAAGGTTATCAGGATGTTTCTTAACAGGTGCTCTTTCTCCACGTGGAGCATCCTCAGGACTAGGAGCATAGAAATCTCCATCCATCCGAAGATTGTCTGGGTGCCTCTTGACTGGAGCTCTCTCAGCATAAGGAGCATCTTCACGGGGTTTTCCTTGGAAGTCTCCTCCTAGCTTAAGGTTATCAGGATGTTTCTTAACAGGTGCTCTTTCTCCACGTGGAGCATCCTCAGGACTAGGAGCATAGAAATCTCCATCCATCCGAAGATTGTCTGGGTGCCTCTTGACTGGAGCTCTCTCAGCATAAGGAGCATCTTCACGAGGTTTTCCTTGGAAGTCTCCTCCTAGCTTAAGGTTATCAGGATGTTTCTTAACAGGTGCTCTTTCTCCACGTGGAGCATCCTCAGGACCAGGAGCATAAAAGTCTCCATCCATTCGAAGATTGTCTGGATGTCTTTTTACTGGTGCTCTTTCACCTACAATAACTTCTTCATATTCCTTACCTATGAATTCTCCTTCCATGCGTAAGTTGTCTTCACGGCGTACAACCTCTACTCTCTCTCCTCGTACAATTCTGTAATCTTCTTCTTTACCTTGGAAGTCTCCAGTCATCTTTAGGTTGTCAGGATGGCGTTTGACAGGGGCTCTTTCCCCTCTTGGAGCTTCACCTGGTTTTGGAGCTTGGAAGTCTCCTTCCATTCGCAAATTGTCTGGGTGTCTCTTAACTGGTGCTCGTTCTCCAATAGTCACTTCTTCATATTCTTTACCAATGAAGTCTCCTTGCATTCGAAGATTATCCTCATGTCTTACAACTTTGCTTCTTTCTCCCTTGAACTGCTGATATTCAGTTTCTTTTCCTGTAAAGCTTCCCTCCATTCTCAGATTATCTTCGTGCCTTGTAATCTCAACTCTCTCCCCTTTGAATGTTACCTGCTCCTTTTTCTCCATATTGAAATCTCCTTCCATGTGCAGTTGGTCTGTATGTCGAATGACTTTGGCCCTCTCACCTCGAAGTGGAGCTTCATCATGAGGCTTCCCTTCGAAATCTCCTTGAAGTTTTAAGTTGTCAGGATGCTTTTTGATTGGAGCTCTCTCCCCCTTTACCGGGCTCTTGCTCCTCTCCCTCATTGTGTGTGTGCCTTCCATCTTCAGGTTATCTTCATGCTTCTTTATAGCTGCCCTGTCTCCTTTAGGTGCTGGTTCCCTTGGTTTCCCTTCAAAGTCTCCTTCCACCTTTAAGTTATCTGGATGTTTCTTGGTTTTGGCTCTTTCACCCTTTGTTGGGCTTCGACCTCTGGGTTTTGGCTCAAAGTCTCCCTCAATTTTTAGATTGTCTGGATGCTTTTTGATCGCTGCTCGCTCACCTTTAGGAGCAGCTTCAGGCGACTTCCCGAGAAAATCTCCCTCGACCTTAAGGTTGTCAGGATGCTTCTTAGTTGGTACTCGCTCTCCTTTTGTTGGACTTCTGCTTCGTTCCATGCCCTCGAAGGTCCCTTCCATTTTTAGATTATCAGGATGACGTTTGATCATGGATCGTTCACCCTTGACAGGGCTCCGGCTTCGGGAACGCCCTGCGAATTCACCCTCCATCCTGAGATTATCAGGATACCTTTGGATGGGTTCTCTTTGGCCAACAGGAGCTCCCTCTTCTGGGCGACCTTCAAAATCACCAGATAGCTTTAAGTTATCTGGATATCGCTTCATTGGCGCCCTGTCACCCATTGGTACTCCATCCTGAGGTTTCCCTTCAAAGTCACCTTCAAGTTTCAAGTTGTCAGGATATTTCTTCATTGGTGCTCTCTCTCCCAGAGGAGCACCTTCTGGTGACTTTCCTTCAAAGTTTCCTTCCAGTTTCAGGTTGTCAGGATGTCGCTTGGCTGGTGCTCTTTCACCCTTCACTGGTGAAGTATCCTTGGTAAGTCCTTCCATGACACCTTCCATTCTAAGGTTGTCCTCATGCCTGATGACCTGGCTCCTCTCAGTCTGTTGATATGACTGGTATTCGTCGCTGGACCTGTTCATGTACATTTCTCCCTCTAGCTTGGTCCAGGTCTTCTTCCTTTGTAACTTGGGCCTGTCGCCCGCTCTCTCAATGTATTCACTTTGCGAGGAGGTTTTCATCGTTTCCATCTCACCCTCGAGCCTGATGTTGTCCTGGTGCACAACGCGCTCCGAGTGTGAGATGGATTCGTGCTTCTGGAAAGACTCTTTGCTGGAAGTGACACTGGTGAACTCCCCGTCGACTTTCAGAGAATCTTGGTAGCGCTTTACATCGGCTCGATCTCCCTGGACAACAGTGTATTGGTCTTTACTTGTGCTGACACCTGTGGAAGCAAAGGGAGCTGTTGTTAAAGAATGTTATTATGTGTGTGCCTGTGTGTGTGTGTGTGTGCTAAACGTATTGATATAGATATATGCCGACCTATAAGGAAAGGATAGCTAGAAAACAAAGCTATTAAGTTTTAACCATTTCACACAGAGATATGTAGATAAGATATCGTCACTCGTCTCAATGTCAAAGCTGTCGTGTTTTTCATTTTGAAGAGATTTTCAACGGGACAGCGCCCCTTAAGGCACGGTCAGACTACCCGAAGATTCGTGAAATCCGGCGATTTTGAATGGAATTTGCCCATCGATGGACCCACTTCACTGGTCATTCGACCACACGTTCGATGCGATGGAAACCCACTTGTCCATCGATGGACGAATGGGAAAATAGCACACGTTGAGAATCTATAGTATGCATGTTATATATTTCTTTTCATTTCGAAGTATAAATATAATTATATATTTAAAATGAAATCAGAGTTATTGATATTTAGTTTTACATCATTATTTACATTTGAATTTAAGCTAAAGTACGAATAAAAAGTAAAAACAAAAGCATTGACCATGGATTCTCATTTGACTGACGAATATAAACAAACGCATAGCGGTCACGATTTGTTTTGATGCCGCGATTCCACTGAGCGAAGCCGATGGTTCTTTTCGCAGTGTGAACACCACGGATGGGTGGGTTGGTTCCAGCCCACAGAAAATCGCTGGATTTCAGTGAAATCTATGGGTAGTCTGACCGTACTTTTATGGAAACAATAAAAAACACTCACCCTCGAAATCGCCAGACGGAGCTAGGTTGTCCTGTGGTCTCCTGACGGCCGCGCGGTCGCCAACGCCCGGTGAGGTCTTGTCCGGAGCGATGAAGTCTCCTTCTGGTCTTAAGTTATCCGAGGGTCTCTTGACGTCTGCTCGGTCTCCCTTGCCCGGGGAGGTCTTCTCTTTCCCGGTGAAGTCTCCTTCGGTTCTCAAATTGTCTGTAGGTTTTCTGACATCTGCTCGGTCTCCCTTGCCGGGTGAAGTCTTCTCGGGGGCGGTGAAGTCACCTTGGGGTCTCAGGTTGTCCGTGGGCCTTTTGACGTCGGCTCGGTCGCCCTTGCCCGGGGAGGTCTTCTCGGGGTAGTAGAGGTCGCCTTGGAGTTTGAGGTTATCTGCTCTTTTGCCTGATGTCAGAGCATGGCCAGATACTGTCATGTATTCTACTTTCTCTGTGCTTTTTCCTGTCGAAAGCAGAAGAGGTGAAGTTAATATTTGTGCTTCAAATTCTGGAAGATGATACACAACAAAGAGAAATGAGAATTTAAAAGGATAATAAGATAAAAAGATAAAGAAAATCTAAAGGATAAAGATAAACAATAATAAAAAAATAAAAAAAACATGAAAGATGTAGAACAGAGAAAAAATAAAGAACAAAGAAAAAGAAAAATAAAGATAAAAATAAAGATAATAAAAATAAAAAGGTTAAAAAAAGCTATATGAACAACAAATATAAAAAAATTGAAACAAAAAAGGGAAATACCTTGAAAAATAAAGCAAAAAATTAAAATAAAATAGACAAATAATAATAACAATACAAGCAAAAAAAAAAAAAAAAAAAAAAAAAAAAAAAACTATTACACATAAATATATACATTACAAGTTTCCTCTTTCTCACCGAAGTAATCTCCCTTGCCCAACTGGAGGCTGGAAACGTCTTGGCGAGTTCTGTTCACTGTTCCGTCGACTACGTGTTGGCCGGCTGTGACGCGCGACTCTGAAAGGCGATTGAACGGATGAACAGGGTGCTTGGCGGATAGATGGATAGATGGGAGGAGATAGATGGATAGGTGGATAGATGGGAGGAGATAGATGGGTAGGTGGATAGATGG